GGGGGGGGGGGGCTCGCTCAGTCAGGCGATAATAATTCTCACGTGTGTGCGACCCGTGCGCGCCGTTGTCAAACGACACCGTGACTCCGATTCGCCGCGCGTGGTGTACCCTCCGCGCCGCGCCGGGTCGTCCCCCGATGTAGGTTAAAGACACGCAGTTACGGCCGCGGCGTTGCGCAACGCGGAACGCCCGGTGCCAGTCGCACTCTCACGCGGGATTACGAGTTCGCCGGCGCGCGCGTGGGGAAACGTCGTCGCCGCCGCCGTGTCGCTTTCTCGTTGCTGTATAGGCGACGGACGGCGAAGAGGAGACCGACGATGGAGGGATCCGCGCAGGCGGATCCGCCGTCTCGGATTTCTTCGTTCGGCGGCGCTTCGTTCCACCACGTGCCCGTGAGCGATCCGCAGGATGATGCCCTGGAGGCGTACGCGCGCGCGCACACACACTGTTTCTCTCTCTCTCTCTCTTCCCGTCGGAGGCGCGAGAGCGAGACGGCGAGAACGCGGGGGAGGCGAGGAGCGCGCGAGAGAGAAAGAGAGGAAGGAGGGACGGAGAAAGAGGAGGACGACGCGTTGGTACAGTCGCGGCCAAAAGTGCGCCGCGTGACATAGATTCGATCGAGCGACGGCGATTTTCGCCGGATTCGAGCCCAGCGGTCGACGGTCCGTCGCGACCTCGACGGCAGGGTCGGCCGTCAACCGGCGGCGGCAGCGGCGACGGCCGGGCGACGAGACGACGAATGCGCGGCCAGCCCCCGCGGCGAATGCGGTCACTGAACCAGTTCCGTTTCGACCCTGACACTGCCATTGCCCCCCCGGGGGCGTCGCGCGATCCGTGTCAGATGCCACAATATTGCCGCCGTTTCCCACGCGTTATCCTCGCGTGCAACTTACCCCTGTCGGAGGACTCCATCGTCGATTCCGCGGACACTCCGCTGCTGTCGAGGGGGGGACCTTCCAGGACTGCGGTTCGTACACGCGGCCGAGGATCTCGCGCTTTCCACGGCGCACGTGGAGATAGTCCCGCTCGTGGTTCACGGCGGCTGGCACGCTCCGCGCACGGCTTGAAAATTTCTCACCACGGTATAAACATGGCCGGCCCGCGCACGGCCGCACGGCTCCCTGGCCTGTCACGATCCGCGCGCGACGGTAGAGGGGGGGTCGTTGAACCTTATCCGCGGGTACGAGACGGCGTCGCGGAAGGGCACCGGCCGCGCCAACTTTTTTTTCCGGGGCCTCCCGGGGAAAAACGGCGTAGCACCGTGGGCTACGGTGGGCGCGACCTAAAAATAGATCACCAATTCGGCGGATTGTTTTGACTAATAATACGCTTCGCAACCTACTCGCTGGTGGCACCACTGGGCGGTGATAGTCCACCGCCGGCGCGTCGCTGCGGCCGCGAGCGACACGCCGGCGTGCGCGCCACCGTGAGGCCGTGCACCTACATGTATGTATATACACGTAGGTATGCGTATACAGGCGCGTGCACATGATCGCTGTCAAACGCTGAACACGTTCAGAGTTGCACCCCGGATTTTCTCCTTCGCGGTCCGGTAATTGCGCTCGTGCGTTACAATGTCTGGGAGCGACGCGAAGCAAGCTCTCCGAAAGATAGACTTCCCTTACTGCGCCAGGGAAGCTCTGTGCAGAATCGGTACGAATTGTATAGGTATAGGTTATCTCGACGCCGCTATGGTCTGTTTATTTTAACTGTGCTCTCTGTTATAGAAGATAAAATTTGTACAAATTGTACGTTTCGATATTTCAATATTATACAGTTAAAGTATCAGATTTACGTTACTGTATAGTGACTGAAAGTTTGCCCATAAAGTTTTGTTTACCTCTCTAATCATTAGTATATTTTTACATGAATCACAAATTCTGGGGTGTTATTACATTTTATTAAATATTAGAAATAATAATTAACATCCAAAATGACCATCTTCGAACTTTGATATAAGCTTCGAGGTGTTTCAGGAATGCATGGTTGTATTATAATGGTTATACATCTCTCCTAGGCAGTCAGTAAAATGTGATCTTCAGTTTTCCAACAAATAAACATGTTTTAGTACAGTTGTTTTAATAATAACAATCCTTTGATATTTAATAAGATATAACTAATGCACACACATACTTTGAAGTTTTTAATATCATTCCGACATTTAATAAGGTCAACTTGCTGTCTGGATAGATAATTTGATACATATATATAAACTTTGTGGTCGAATTATTTTATCACTCTGTATATTTTAATATTACAATTTTTTTCTTTCTTCTCAATCATATTAAATTTTGTTTATTATTTGTTTAAGAGGTACTTTGCTGCAGACCTGGCAAGCAAGTGGACCTGCAAATGGACTTAATATCAGAGTTTGTATTCGGAGAGGTAGAGAAACGGAAGAAACGCAGCACGACACAGGCGATACAGGAGCTGCAGTTGATAGAGATCATGAGCGACTTCTTCCAGAGTCCAGGTGGCAGCCCTGCCGTGCGCAATGCTCTGTTCCTATCGCTCTTTCCAGCAGACAGTCCCAGATATAAGATTCTAGGTAACTTGGTATCGTTGGCAATTGCTACACAAAACAAGGCAGTCCTAAACGCAGCTGGCATTTGGATGCAGCAGTTAGGCTCTACCTCGCCACAGAGCGTAGGACTGGCGAGGCACATACTCAATGATTATTTCGTGCTTACTCCAAGATCTATCAATAAGTTGAAGCAGCTGCCTGTGCTCACTCCGCATTTCACTGCCAACCTGCTGACGGCAATAGGTGAAGTTTATGAGGACAAAGATCCGCCTACTGATCTGCTTAGATTGGTAGGCGAATGGATTGACGAAAACCCAAGTTTATTGTTGACCCCTCTGATGGACAATCCAGCATTGCCCACTGGTGGAATTCCAATGACACCGATAACACCAATAGCAGGCCTGTTCAGGTTAGTTCCTGTACAATTTCATATAGAAGTGATAAACGAAAGTGTCTAATGTGTCGAATTATTCTTTTTTTTTTTACCTACAGATGGTGCATATTGAGTCCTTTGCGTGATACTATGAACAATACAGAGGCTCAAGAAGAGTCACGAAAATTTTATTCAAAAGTTCAACAGTTACTCATGGACTCGGTGCTACGACTGAATAACAGTGGTAGCAACAAGCATGCGATTTCGGCGCAGCATTTGGCGTCTACTACTCGTTTATTAACAACGAATTTGCAGAATCGTCCCAACGTCGACACAGTCTTGCGTGATCTAGCCATGGAACGACTCGCGCAAGCAATCAGCACGGCTATGTCTGCGAACTGTATTTATGGAAATAAACGTATGTTTCGAATATATATAATAAAAAAACTATATATATATTTTTTTTATATTAAACGTATTCGCGATTATGTAATAATAGTATATAATAAAATATTATAATAAATATATTATACAATAAATAAATTTAACGTTTGTTTCAGAGGAACTATTAGCCCTTCTGCAACCATTGTCATATCAGCATTTTTTAATAGAATGGATATTACAAACGTATTCAACTAAGGCAGCTTGAGATGAGAATAATTATTAGATTGATGCAAAAATAATTGTACAAACAGAAAATAATAATCTAATATATTTTAATTTCTTATTGTATTATTAAAGCGTTCATAATTTTGTTGCTTAATTATTTATTATTAAAAATAATTGTATCCATTTGTTTATAATTTTCTGGTCAAATACTTCATCAATTTTTCGACTCGTTTCCACTGCTTTAAAATCTAGTTTGAACGTATAAAAAAATTGCTCGGAATTGCTTCTTTTTCATATTTAAAAAATAATGATAATTGGTCACAAAGTTAACACCGAGAACAAAATTACTAACACAATTAACAGACTGAAATCTGCATTTGAAAATGGTGCAACATGAATATAAGGAATGTTCTTTTTGAAAGTACCATGCAGGAACTTTTTGTACTTAGTATGCAATTATGCATAGTACAGTTCAAAATGTCGTCATAGTGCATGTGGTATAGATAGATCAGTGCGAGTTCAAGTTCTCAAAAAGAACGATATTTGATACATACACAGTGCACATGTTGCACAAAGGTTAATTGGTTATTAAAAAGTGTTTAAATAAAAAAAAATCGTAAAGATGGAAACTAACGATGAAAGTACATCTGATGATTCAGTTAAAAAGTGTTTAAATAAAAAAAAATCGTAAAGATGGAAACTAACGATGAAAGTACATCTGATGAAGACGATTCAGTCGATGCAATTCTTCTTTATTTTTATTCTCGCTGTATGTATTATATGCTGCACTGCCTCCAGAGATAGTACGAAAGTTCTTGTACCTAGGTACCAATTTTCAAGTATTCCGTTCAAATAGAATGCGTACACTATTTTGTAATGACGTAAGTTCCAGCATATGAAACGTGCAATTCTGCATCTTGCACTAGTAGGTACAAAAAGTGCAAGCACCATCATCAAAAAGAATAAACTTATAATTGAACATAATGGGTGTTTTCTATCTGTGACACAAATTGTGAGTGTTACACTGTGTCACATATTGTCAGGATGCTGCTTATAAAATACATATGTGCTTCCCACAATACACAACAAATCTTATTTAATCACAACTTACTTGATACAATCTTAACTTACTTAATATTTATAATCTATTAAACGCTAATAAAGCCTGCATATTAATAACAGTTTCAAATTTTGTACTCGTATTACTTTGGTTACAATCATTTTATCACACTAGATCGAACACATTAGATGTTATTTATTTACTTATTGGTCTACAAGTTTGCTCCCGCCGTTTTCATATAGATAGTTTTATACCTGTAAAAACGGCAGGAGCAAACTTGTATTACAATTTTAATAACATCAATTTTACGAGCTATTTAGAGTTATGTTACTTTAAATTTAACAGGATGCCACTACAAAACATGCTTTTCTTTTTCATAATTGATACTTCTAGCGACACAGCACGGTAAAACCCTTTTCGCTGTGTCAAATAGTGTGGCACCATATCGTTGCTGGAACGTTTTACACTAAACACTGCCGCCTGTGTCGCTAGCTGGAAAGCACTCTATATTGTAAAATAAAGTACCAAAATTTTAAACAGTAAAAACTGACATTATTTTTGCATCAATCTAAGATGTCGGTGGCGATAATAACGACGATAATGTATAATAATTTATTTTGATTGTGATATATGAAATAAATATATTTGTACATAAAAAATATGATTAGACAATTGTATATTTGTTTTATTAAAAAATAAAATAATTCTGACAAAATGCAACTGATTTTAACCTTACAATTTTATCCTAATATTTACAACATTTAACATACCTAAAATGGCTTAAATGTTCGTTTCTGTTTTAATTCCTGCAGTCTTTTTTTGTCCAGTTCAAACTTTTTTCGCAACTCTGCTAAATCTAACAGAGAAAAATTACACACAAATTAAACACAAATTCTAAAAACAAATTGTACTATAAATTTTATAATTAATAATTGTACTTACTCTGCTTTTTCGATTCACGAATTTGGAAAGTATAGAAATTAAGTAATTGCTTTTTCTTCTTGCGTTGTTCTTCCTTCTGCTGTACTTTTCCGATAGTAGATTCCTTTCTGGACGGTGCAAATTGTCCTCTTTTTTTTTTACCTGTTACAGTTACCCAGCCATTGTTGCTCTCATCTGCAGCTTTTTCTTGTGCAATACGGTCTTGTACTCGTTTATCATATAAATCTATATATTCCTCGATGTCTTTCTTCATTAATTGCTCATCGTATAAAGTATCATTATACTCTTTACACCATTCTGTTTTTAAATAAAAATAAGTTTAAAAATAATAAAATCCATTTTTTGCAATTGAGAACTTCTTACACTGTTTATCTTTTCTTCAGTTCTCTCCAAGTGGAGAAAAGTAGAAGGATGAATAAAATTCATATAAAGTCTAACTATGAACACCATTCTAAAAAATAGTACTTAATGTGAAACTAGGTATACATATATGTTTAATACTGTTAGATGAAAAAGCAAAAAAAGCTTTCTTACAATCTAATGAGAAATAAAAAATAGACCTCAAGTGACATGAGAAGTTTGTTTTTCATTTTTGTACGTTAAACTGTATTAAATTTTCTTTCTTGCTCTTGTCAAATATCAAACATTTAATGTATTTTACTTTAAATTTAAAAAGTACTACTAGTTTAACTATAAGAAGCAAACTTATAGAGAATATAAAAAAAAACTTACTTTTCACTCCTGTGAGGCAAATGTTTTTCTCATTTTTCAATGTAATTACAAAATCTTTTGAAAGTTCCATAGCTTTATCTAAAGAGGATTCCTTCTTAAAAACGATATATGCAGTTTTAAATCCTTTCGTATTTGAAAGCGTAACAGACTGTACATTTCCGCAAAGATTAGTGAATGCATTGTTCAGGCAATCAACAGTTACATACGGCGGTATGTTCAACACAAAGAGAGTTCGGTTCCTGGGATATTCCGGTTCCTGATTTCTCACGGAATGTTCCTTGAAAAATAGCTGGTGCTTGTCGGAACTGTCCGTGTCGAAGCGAATCCATAACGCTATAAGCCGAAATAATTTCGATCAAAGATAATTCAGGATATATGTATTTTAATACATACAACACAACTTACTTTTAAAACTTGTTGCATTCTGTTTACTGGCTTTCGTAACCATTTTTAAGGCCTAACCTAACTATTGTATATTGTATTGAATCTTGCAAATTTTTGAGCCCGATATCACTAACTCCTTCTTCTTGGGCAAGCAGGGCGAGTTCTGAAGCCCATGGTACATAGGCCTGGTTTACATCGTGCACTTGGTACCCGTACTAACTAGTTACTTTCTATTAAATTATCTTAATTTTAGCAATGTATTTAAAGAATGATGTATAAAATTGATACAATACGCATCAAAATGTTTAACTAAATACGTTTATTGTGTATACATTGACATATATCGCTGAAATTAAGATATAGAAAGTAACCAGTTACGCGTATCAAGTGCACGATGTAAACCAGGCCATAGAAAAACGTAATGCCTAGTTCACACTGGATGCGATGGGCGATGAACGATGAGCGATATCCAATAAAAGCTTTGCTTTAGCTCACACAACGATGTAAAGTAGAGTTCTTATTGGTTATCGCTCGTCACGCATCGCTCATCGCGCCTAGTGTGAACTAGGCATAAGGCCGTAAATGTGATCAGTAAGCGAATTGACCAATCACAGTTGAAAACGTAAGCGGCGGCCACCAATTTGTTTTTAGATTTGTAGATGATTGATACCGTTACGGTATGTTCTTATCGGTATTCATTGGTGTAATATTTTATGTATCGTTCAATTATCAATCTTATAGTCGAATATTATTCCAAAATCTGAAGCATGGTGGCTTGGTGGCATACTTCCACCATGATCTGAAGGAGCGGATATCAACTACACAACAATTTCCACTCTTTTGCGGTACTCTTGATAAAAATAAATCACAGAAATAATTAAAGATCTAAAATTAAAACAAGTAAATTACATGATGGATTGTTTCAAATCATTATTTTTTAAAATCACGTAATTTGAAAATTCATGTGATATTAGAAATAATATCATCTGTTATGTGATTTTATAGTTATCGAATTTTAAAGAATTAAATAATAGGAATTAAAAAGAAAAAACGTATTTATATTGTGTGACTTTTCAAATTACGTTATTTAAAAAAAATCAAGTACTGATTTGGAATAATTCGTTACGTAATTTACCTATTTTAATTACATGATTTTATTATGTAATTTTGTGACGTGATTTTTTTCAGTAGGGTCTCTCTCTCTCTCTCTCTCTCTCTCTCTCTCTCTTCAATGACCGCGAATTCACTGAATATATTTGTCTTGTTTTAAATGCAAAATTGTTTTAAGCAACGCAACAGGATTGATGAAAGATTAAATAAAGAGAGATTAAACAAACTATAAAATAATACAAATGTAAAACTCTCTTATATGTATATATTATGCCGGTTCAAAACTCGTTGAAAAAGAACGGACTTTATGGTGCGGTTTAAAGAGTTAGGTAATAAATTTAAAAAATATTTTGCGTGTTTGTTTTAGATTTGGAACATTTATTAGACACACGTACAGAAAAGAATAAATTGAAAGGATTCGCTTAATGATTCAAAAGCAAAAAGAGTTGAGATTCATATGAAAATGCAAAAAAAATTTAATAAATATTGTTATTCATGGAATTTGGTCGACTAAAAATTCAATTTTTCAAATTATCTTCTTTGCTTCAGTTCGTTTTATTTCTTATAAAAAAATTTTCAAATAAATATTATTTTATGTATTTGGCATTTAAAACAATTTTTTTCATAAACTTATCGTTTTCTCTCATTTCCCTTTTGTATAAAAAAAAAATGTAAATGAGGTAGACAGAATCGACTTTTTTTTCCTAAAGAGATAGTAAATTAAATAATATGTTATACTAGCGAGTGAAGTGTTATTTCTTCGTCGTTGTATTGCAAGTAATCAATTCGATCAACTGGCGAGAATGCGACGCGTTGCACATGCATACTACATGCCGCGCAAGCGACATGCACGCAAATGTCAGGGACACGCGAACAATTATTATAATATACACTCGACTTTTTTTTTCATTTTTGTCTATTCTCTAAATTTTTTAAAGTAGAATCTTATTCTAAAAAGTGAAAATTGAGCCAATCTTAAAAACAGTCCAATTTTCTTCAATCTTTAAAAAAGAAATTTTATTCTTTAAAGTAAAATTCACTCGATATAAAATTTTAGGGCAGATTTTCTAGTAGAAATACGTTATTCTTTCTTTCTCATACAAAAAGAGTGAGAGAACACTGAATAATAATCAATCCGAATTATAAAAAGTAATTAGAATAATAAAATTTTAGCTATACTGTTATTTTACCTACGTTTTTTGCAAACAAATATGGTATGTGTTCAGACATCATACTGGAAAAAAAAACTAAATTTCCATAAATATTTATTTGAATAGTCCCAAGTAAATATTTATTAAGTGCAAACATATATTTATTCAAAATAAAAACATTAATTTAGCTATCATCTTTTTTATTAAGTAAATACATATTTAAGTAATTATTTATTGTAAGTAAATAATTATTTAGTACTATTCAAAGAAATATGTATTGCAATTAATATTTTTTTTAGTGTAGAGAAAAGAAGAGGAACCGCAGAAAAATCGAAGAAAAGTATGTAGAAATTACGCGGAGGGAAGAATCTACGATAGCACAAAATTTCGCATGCTAAAGCGTTCTCTCGACCTTTTTTCTTTTTCTCGACAATCTCGCGAATGTCGACCCGTTTCGTGCGAATAATCAAATCGATATAGAAGTCATGGCACCGGGAAATTATTGATCAAAGCGGCCGCTTAACCGCTGACAGTATACAACTGTAGCGATCGCGGTAGTAATGTGCGGAGGAACGCTCGTCGCACGAGCGCCGCGCACTCGAAACTCGGTGAAGCTGGGCTTTTTGCTGCTGCTCTTCTCGATCGCGCATCTGCCGTTGCTGCGACACGCCGATGCTAAGATACTCCAGGGCGATTTGATTACAAACGAAGTAATTACCAGGATGGAATAGATTTTAATAAAACACGAAACCGCGAATTGTTTCCGGGGTTTGGCACTCTTGCATGGTCAATACCATTGCACGACGTACAAGCAAAGTTTTCACTGTGTTTCTACCTGTTGTTAATACAAAACGAGTAGATTGTTATTACAATAAATAAGTACGATTTAAAATGCAAATGTAAATAAACGAATGAAGGCGATAATCAATGTTAAAGAATAAAAAGAATTGTATTCTCATTCTCGGAGAGAATGACAATCGCATTTCCTTTTTATTATTTAAATTGATGTACTGTTTTAATGATTTGGTGTTTTAATGATCTTGGCAAGTCGAAAAGATTAAAAGATTTATAATTAATACCTACAAAATTTTATTAAAGAGTATCAAAAAAATCTTTACAAATGCAGTGAGGATAAATTTATAACATTGATATTATAATTTTACATTCAACAATGTAACTGTTACGTATCACAGATGTTATATTCATTCATATCGCTAAAAATGTAAAATCTCTAATATTGACATTAATATATTATAATTTATTATTTGTTCGGTTGCAGAAATGTACAACAATTGTAAAAATTTTTTCATACTTTTTTTTCTCTTACTGTATTTGCGGTTCTTCTGATAATAAAATATGTACAGATATTAATTATAAATCTTTCTATCTTTACTGTTAATTGGTGTTTATTAGGCACTGTTGTTCCAAAGTATTTTTAAAATTAATATGCTTTAGATGTAGACAATAATGCTCATCAATGCAAAAGCCACTGTTATTATTGCAATACAATAGTGACTCCAATGACCTGTAAATCCGTTTGAAAAAATATAGAATGTAGAATAATGATAGTTAATAACAAATAATTAAAATTGTGATTCTTTCAGAACTGGGCATTCCTCGCAAGATTCTGTTTTTTATCGAAGACCAGTCTTCTTCAGTACCACTTTCAATTAGGAGGTGAAGAACATAATTTGAAGCTTCTTCTGTACTATGATGGAGCACAACAATGGCCCGCAGTTTATCCTTCCAATAAAACGTGTCAGGAAAAAGAGAGTATTCTCAGTCTCGAGAAAGGTCAAATAATACCACTGAATACGTCGATACCAATGCGTTACTCTTCGGGATGTGTCGAAGGTGAAGACGGTATAGTTCTATGCGATAATCAGAGGGGATTCATCTCGTCCCGACCAAGATGGTGGTATATAGTTTTAGCCGATTGCTTTTCCACGAAAGGTTTGAACGTCACGTACCGGATATCGCTGACTAATGCGGCGCCCGGTACATTCTGGAAGGAGCACTTTTCCGCGGACGAATTCTGTAAGTAATTTGATTTTCACAATTGGCGAATCTCAGAGTAGCGTTCCTTAATTGTACCCATTTCTCGTTCTAGACATACTGCCACTGTTGATACCGACCGCCTGCTTCTATACGATATTCATCGTTCTCAGTCTCTACATAGCGTTGCAATTGCGCTCCAGGAGATTGCTACATATATCCTACAAATTGTTCATAGCCTCCCTGATATGTCAATTACTGGGAGTGTCATTCGAGCTTTATAGTTACATTAATATTGGTCTGACAGGAATGTCAGCATTGAATGCTTATTTATTAGGCCAATTCTCAGAAGCATGTTCCGAGACTCTGTACACAGTTCTCATGCTGCTGCTCGCTATCGGTTATACGGTTACCAAAAGTGTCCTTACAGCATCGCAAATCCGATGGCTTATACTATTTGTCAGTAGTACTACCCTTTGTCAAATGTCGTTGTGTATATATCAATCCCAAGCATTTGATCCAGGATTGGTGTTGTACATTTATGAGTCGTTACCGGGCTATATGTTAATAGCATTGAAATTAATTGCCTGGTTTGTGTTTGTCACTCGTTGTTTCAAGACCATCAGAAAATTGCATACGAAGCTCCACTTCTACGCTTCGCTACTTTTCTTAGGATCAGTGTGGTTCCTCTTTCATCCTTTAACAGTATGTATACATATTAGAAAAACTGTTTCAACCAAAAATGTTTGTTTAAAATAATTGTTTATATCTTTATTCTATATAGAAAATATTCTGTAAAAATAAAATTTGTTTTTCTTTTTATTTCTATAGATATTGATCAACACTATATTCGTAGACGCATGGGTGAGAGAAAGCATGGCCAAAGGAAGTTCCCTCTTTATTGTCTTCTTGGGTCACTTACTGTTTTTATATGTAACTCGACCATCTGTGAATAATAAACGTTTTCCATTCCACATTAGAACATTCCAAGTTGTGCCTATAGGTGGTCATGGACAGGATCACAGTTATGAACCTGGTCCTCAAACAGCGATTACCACATTTACTATCACACGGTCACCAGCTCTCGTTAATTAATAAATGTAAATATCACAATAAATATAGAAAACAAACATGGTAAATTGATGTGCAACCACTGGTGAAAATGCACTGTTGAAGAAGCTATTACAAAAAAGAAATGGTTATTAAAAAAAATTTTTATATTAATATATTTTTTTACCATATATCATATAGTGCGATGCAACAAATGTACACATTTTTGCATTGTGTCTATCAAGATAAAATTCCTAATTCAAATAATAGAATAATGTTAACAATATTGAATTGCCTTTAGCAAACGTTTGTATGTAGTTCAGAATCTATACAATTTTCCTATGTCACGAAGACATTTATAATAAAATATGATGCAATTTCATTCTTGCCTTTTATTTTGATAGATTTATCCTGTATTTAGAAAAAAAGCTAGACATGAAAAGCTTTTTAAGTACATATATTGCTATTAATTTCCATTTTCATATTTTTTTTATGTACATTGTACCAACAAATTTAAGAGCAGATTGTCCAATGAAAAAATCTACAATTATTTACACAATAATTCGTATTGTATTCAGGTCCCATTGTACATTCTAAGACTATTATTACTATTTATCAATCACAAGAACCATCTAACCAACCGTCTCTCCATCTCTGATTCACTAGTTTACAATCAAATTCTGGTTTCTGAAGTTTCTTGTTGACTTCGTTATGGATTCTGCACAGCCACTGGCTCAATTTTTCCTGCGATCCGGTCTGCGGTGGCGAGCGTTTCAATTGCTCCTGCAGATCTTCCGCGCATATACTGCAAGGGTAAAATTTGGAAAATGTATGGAAGAAGCTGTTCATGTCAGCTTTTTGTTTCTCACTCGGACGATCAGGATAATATGCCGCCATGGTATGCAAGAAGGCCCAAGTCTTCGAACCCAACTCATCCTTGTCCAAAGGACAATCCTGTCGAATACTATTGTTCCTGGCATTCGGTGTTTGTTCCTGTTTCTTTTGTACTTCCTGAAATAAAAATTTACATAAATTATAGGCCTATTCTTTTTAACTAAACTTCTTGGACCATTCATCTTCTCTTTTCTTCTCTAGTGTGAAAAGAGAAAGAAAAATAATTCATGTGTAAGAAGTTTAGCTTGAAAAAGATTGGTCTATAATTTATAATATTAGCTTAAAATTGTTGTTGTTATTTGTAACATGAGTATATTCTTTTTATCTGAATTTCTCGCACAGTTCATCTTTTCTGTTTTTCTTCTTACATTGAAGAAAAAAAAAAGTTAACAAGAAATTTAGCTGAAAAAAAGATGATCATAATGACGCCGTAATAAATTTATAATAAAAAACAAGAATAATTTATCTGTAAGAAAAAATAAGGTGAAGGTACAGAATACCCCGTTCAGTTCAAATTTTGATAAAAATACACTCATTCGACGAACGGGGCGTAGCCGCCCCGAACCTAAAAGCTTTACTGTCTATTACACCCCTCTGACCACATGGGTTATGATTTATTTGGAATAGAACTACGTATAATAGAAACATTGCACGAAGTAAATAATTCATTCAAATTTTTAAATTGATTTTAAAATTCATGCATTCTATTGTACGGATAGTGAAACGCATGCGCAAGAGGTCACACAGCATGAAGAAAGCATATTCATAGCGCTTACATGTAGTCGGTATGACAGATTTCCTAACCTCAACAGTCGTCAACTTTAACGCTTAATATCTCTGTTCGGAGGGCAGAGTGGCACTTTTTATTGCCAGATTCGTTCGTTTCGTGCAAAAACGCGCCGAATGAGTGTGTTTTTATCAAAATTTGAACTGAACGGAGTATTCATCTATACCTTTACCAAAAATAATCTGATAAAACAAGCTCTAACACTTGAGTAATAGCGACAAAATTAATAATAATCCTCAATGAATTTGTCAACAAACTACTGATTTACCTTCTCCGAGTCGTAAACTTCCTTTTGACGTTTCGCCCACGTTCGAAAATCCATACAAGCTCGACACGGCTTCTCGTTTGACATTCTCTCGATTCGTACCGTACGTGAAGATCCTCAAGTGTCACCGCAGGCAGGTTAATATAGCTCTCACGTGCGACATAATCTCCAGTTCCACTCTCGTGATAAAATTTTCAATGCTTAGGGCCTCTTTACCTTTGCGTTTGTGCATTAACAATAAAATCACACATGACGTAATCGAGACGAAACAAATTCGTGAATAAAAGGCATGTCTTTATAATACTGGAATTTTTATACGATCGCCGCTCTCACAGCTGACGAATCGCTCCATGATGCAATCTGACCTAACCCTAACTCTAGCCTGATGATGTCGAGTTATGATGGCTACGCGCGAAAACGTTAAATTAATGATATCTAGCGTTAAACCCTGACTTGTATGTTACACGGTATAATAATAAGTTGAAAAGTGAAACAAATTAATTTTATTTTCTACTTTCTTTTTATTTTTGTGTCTGTACGAGTACTCTGGCGAAAATATAAATACTTTATAAAACATTGACAACCGTTCGATGACGATTTTTTAAGAATTTATACGCTTTCAAACTATAAGGACGCTTACACAACACCATTGAGCTTTAAACATCTTCAGAACGCTTATATAAAATGCCGTATATATCGTTTGATGAAAGTTCTATGATCCTGAAGCAATGCTTTAGAGAAAACGTTGATACATGCACTTTCGTACAGAGAATTTATATCGTCAATTTTTCGAACTATTAGCAAACATTTTTCTCAAACTCCGTTTTCCAAACGCTGCAATGTTGCAATTTCTGCTTTTCAAACATTCCGTTGACCGTTTCTACTCTCAACAAACTTCTGTAAACGCATCAATAAGCGTCCAATAAACATTTATGAAACTTCTTATTTTTGCCAGGGTATACAGCTTCGAACACAGTAAGGCTGCGTTCGGAAATATCACCCGAGTATCCCCCTGAGTATCGTGTTATCCTTCTTTAACATTGGATGAACAACAAGGACAAGATGATACTCGGGGAGAGATAAACCTGGGTGATATTTCCGAACGCAGCCTAACAGATATGTAAAGAATGGTTTTGATGGAATATCTAAAAATTGAGCAAAATTAAATAGATCGCTCAACATTTTGTTTTCTAGAATATCAAAATTTGTAAAATAATTATATAGGAAATTCAAACATGCATAATACAGACTAAAAGCAAGACTATTAAAAATTTTGGTTTTCTTATAATAATTTTTTTCAAAATTTCTGAAAAAAATTATTAAATAATTATTCTAAAAATACGAATGCATACAGCTAATTTTGTTGTAAAACCTTTATATGAAAATTTTTTTATACCTTAAATAGTTTTCGATAATTTATTATTCAGATACTGAGAAGAAATACTGATGCTGTTTATATATTTCTTTTATATCATTAGTATTTTTTAAGTTACAGATGGATCTTTTAAACCAATTTGATAATATAATAGAAAATACATGTCAAGAAGAAATGGATAGAGAAATTTAACTTATATAATAATCCACTATTTTCGCGTAAAGTTGTGAAGGGCATAATTAATATGTTCAATAATTTTCTTTCGGAAAATTTTATTCCTTTACTTCAAAATAATATGGAGCATCACTTGAAACCAATAGCAGATCCAACTACTTATTATTATACAGCGCAATTTATTTTAGAAAATAGTTAAAATATGTTTATTAAGTTTTCCACGAAACATTCTAGATTTAATATGTATAGAAACAAAAGTATAGGGGAGAATGTCCAAAACCGGACCGTATTCCAAATCGGATCTTTTTAATTTAAATAAATATGGTTAAACAGATTTGCATGTTATTTATAATGAAAAGTCCTTATAAGACACCGAACATATGACAGCCGTTCGGCAGTATATAACTTTGTTATAACGTTTATAGAATAGACGCAAATATGTATTTCGGCTACCATGCGAAAATTTTTTTTAAAAAGAAAATCTTTGTAAATCATTATTTAAGAGATATAATATTAAAAATTTAAACGGTAATTGATTTGAAATAATTAAAAAGTGTAGAATTCAAAAATATTAAGAGTTTTGTGATTACTTTTGCGGTTTATTATAAAACTTGTTCCAATAGTTCAAAAGAACACGTGTCCAAATCGGACCTCTCTTTGGGTGTCCAAACCGGACCTATACAAAAAAACATTAAAAAGACGAGTAAACCAGCTCTTTAAAAAAGCAAAGAAAGAAGGTTGGCCACAACCTGGTTGTAATACTGGTGATCAACCGACCAGATCTGGTCTAAGAAACATTAAATCAATAAAATATCATGTGTCATAAGACTCAGATTAATGGAATTTTTTATATTGACTTTAATTCTAATAATATAGGTAAACTGTATTTTTATCTTTGAGTCTTAAATTGCTCGTTTCCACTCAATACTAACAAAAATTAATTAAAATATTTTAAAATTCTATCTAAAAGCCTATAAAAATAAGAGAGGCCAGATGTGGAAATATGAGTTCTAAATCGAACCAAAAAATGCATTTTTACATTTTCCATTATAGTTCGACACAGGTAAGAGATACGTCAAAATAGTTTAAAGTAAAAATGAAGGAAATTAAATGATCTTTCGAACGACATTATTAGTTTTATGATCGTACTTTATTTACGCCTTATAAAGAACAAAAACTGCAAATAGGTTCATTTAGATCACTCTCCCCTATTTATAGATCCAGAAATGTTTAAAATTGGAGAAGAGGCTGTTTACGTATACGAAAATAACAAAAATCTGAATGTCCAAATAAAATCGGTACATGTAGTTCAGGTTTCTTTAAAAGAAACATTAAAAACTATTCTTCAGATACCAGAAGTACTCATCCAAATGAAAGAATATATCCATAAATTATCTATAGATAAGATATATTTAGTAAATTTCATCCAAGAGGTGATCTGTGGTTAAAAAATATCATATGAAAAATTTTGACAAGAAAGTAAATATTGACAAAAAGGAAAAATTTATTTACGCAAAAATTATAAGGTAAATTATTGGATACAGAGACAAAACATTTCAAATATTAAACTTTTAATGACATGTAAGATTCTAAATAAATTTGTTATTAAATTTTTATACGCAAAA